TCTAGCTCCATAAGTTCTTGCGGCCAACGAATAGTCCTCTCCCCTTTCATCATGCTTATGCTCTCGTCACTCTCCGCGTTTGTTGCTCTCCTTCTTCATCCCAGTCAAGTTCTTGCTTTCTAAGCATACCTATCACGTATAGAGTGGAATTATAAAATAACTACACCAATATAAAGGTGAATCAAATGACCATTACACTATGGATCTGATACCATATTCCCACCCTCCATGCAAGTTTGCTGACCGCACACTGTTGTTTGGCATTGATCTCAGCGATAAGGCATCAAGCGGATGTCAGTTTTTCGTTAAAGATAAATCGCTACTATGAGGATCTGTCCTTTGCCTGATTATGTTACGATTAAGGAACTGTTGAGCAAATTTCTCACAAGACAGCAAAAAAAAAAAAAAAAAAAAAAAAGAATGACACAAGAGAGGTAACAGCAACTGTGCCTAACTGACGGCCTTAAAGACGCTGCGTTTCCAAGTGCCGTATAACTAAAAGGAGCGATCCGATTTTACGTAATCTTTCTACAAAGCAAGCTGCACCTTGTGCGTAGCGTATCACACCTATACATCAAGCCATTCAGTTTTCACCTGCTTCTTACCTATCCACCCTGGTCTATCACGCCTCAACTGGACTTGAGTCGCTAGGTCTCGTAGGCTATGGTAGACATTTCTTATTTTAACAAAAGTAGATCCCTTGATGTACCCACATCCATACTTCGACCAGTTCAATACGCACATGTCTCTAGTCGTACACACAAGCATATACTGTACTAACAATGCAATCCATAGCTGTTGATAGTAAATATAGCCCTATATAGATAATTACTACCATCGTTATCAGCCCCCTCTCTCTCCCTTCCTATGGCCACAAGAAGCTACCAGTTATGGCAGTACGTTCAGATCTGCCTTCACCTCCAGCTATATTGTTGTGTTGAGATAGCTAGATACATAATCGGTTCGTAATAGGAACAACCCTTACATAGAGGCGTGTCACTGATGGCAGATGAAGGCATAGATGCTCCTGTGGATATTACGAGGAACCAACTTAGGAGACATCAACTATATGTGAGGCAGAAATTTGACGAGAATCTTCAATCGAATGTAAGTGCGAATCACCATTTTTCAATTCTCCTTACACTCGCACACTTTATTCAATTCTAGAGATCTTCGCTGGACGCTGAAGCTGCTGCTGTTTCTGTTACACACCAAGTTACACGCAATGCACAAACCCAGCTAGACGATCCTCATTGATCATCAAGATAATACCTACATGATAGGGAAACTTTCTACAATCGAGAAAAATCGCATGAGATCGGAATCATCTTCAACAGGTAGTAGCACTCATTTACATAACCAGGAGACTCGCCGATGGACGGCGAATAATAGCGTCACGCACTAAAGCTGCCACTATTGCACTTTTATAAAATTTTCTAGAATTTCATAGTACCAGTATTTCAGTGCTGTCAAACAACGTAGCAAAGTCCTATAGGTAGGATTGTAATATCACTCGAATGCACTTAATTGTGCGGTGTGGTGTATGTCAGCATGTAAGCCGATAATGAAGGAAGATGACAAAGACAAGTCATCATGTATACGGAATAATAAATAGAGGAGCAACATATTGGTAATATATTGAGGCCGGTTTTACACTATAGTGCACACGCTGTATCTCCTCTGGCCCAAACTACAAATAAATGTTATATTTGCAAACGTTGTCGCGAACCTGCTTAGACTTGAGAGGAGTCCCCTTCATGTGGTGGTAAATTATGGTAAAGAGAGGTAAACCGGTATACTTCGACCTCTCTGACTCATAGCACCTAGGCACAGAAAATTATGTATAAACACGCAATCTCATCGGTACTCCTACAAAATGTGCATTTTCATACTCAGTGTCCTACACTGCCATCACGAAACTGAACACGATTCAGATAACAGGTAAATATACATGGTGTGTGATAGTGAGTCAGTTTGGTTGAATATTATCACCAAATTTCATGTATCTTATTGAAGGACATAGGCTCGTGACAACAAGACAGGATTCAACCGAACATGTTTGATCAATACAATCACTCGGAGCCATTTGATAAGAGAAGATAACGTTAACAGACCGGTTAGGTACTGCCAAAACATTGTTCTTCAGACCGAAGCAGCCCTTTAACAGCCTCATATTATCAGATCAGCAATGCATAAACTGCCTAATTATACAATATCCCGCTGACTAGAGTTAGTAAAAAGTGTTAATACGGACGTTGTATACATGTTTAAAATATCTCCTGCATGTTCAAAAACAATATTTGTAAACAACTTAATCTAGCTTATTTTATTTCACGTGCAAAAAATAACTAAGCAACTGTCTGCTATATCGTGTAACGAGTTGATGTTAGACTTTTATACGAGTGTGTGTGCCGAATTCTCAGTGTGTGTAGCATGATCGCAACCGCTAGAAGAATGTCTTAGCGCTCTGTATGACTCTAAATATGACACTCTCTCATCGTGTGACAGTACAGCAAGGACATCTGCGCGTTGCTGCATATTGAACAAATCTTATGTATAAAATCCCCCATGCATTCACTTTTCAGCTCACGTGCCAGCTGATAAGTCATATGAGACCGCCTGTGTCACCCTTATCAAAAACCGCTACTGGGTGTGAATGGCCGTCCCTCAGTGTTAGCCCTGTGGCAGGCTGGTGATCTGATAAGGATAAGTGGAAGAGGATGGATGTTTTGTTTTTTTTTTTTTTTTTTTGAGCTGGCTGTGAACATCCTTTTAGGTTGAATTTTAACACGTGGGGTTTTATAACGAAATTTTGCAATTCACTTTTGAAATCAGCCTCAAGTGGCCACGCTGGGAACTGCAGTTTTTGGCCTTTGCATGTTGGCTTCATTTTTCAGCCCTGCAGGTTGCTTTTTGGGTTACAGAAGACTGTTTCACTGGTTTGCAGAAACATTTGAGACACCATCTCTTAACCTGTTTTCTCTCCTTGGCTTTCCAGTCTTCTCTTCACTATCAATAAACAATAAAAGCCCTCCCAAAATACACTTAAAAATTAACTGTTTCTGTTTTGATTTTATATGTAGCAACAAGTAGATTTCAAATTATCTGGAAAACTGACACATGCTGATAAATCAGCTAATACTAAAACTCCCATAATTTTTCAAGGGAGCAGATTCTGATTGTGCTGTATCACAGACTTCTTCTGCTCCCTTTATTGTTCATCACAGCAAATCAAATGCCTTTATCTCATCCTGGCCTTACCATCCTCCTCTGTCACACCAACCCTCTGCATGTCCTCCTTTGTTATCTCCCTGAACATCTTCTGAGGTCTTCCTCTTTCCTCCTGCCTGCCTGTTCTTTATTCAACATCCTCTGTACAGTATATCCACTATCCCTCCTCTGCACATGTCCACACCATCCCTTGTCTCTCCCACTTTGTCTCCAAACTGCTAAACCAGAGCTCTTCCTTTAAAATAACAAAAATCTTATCATCTCCAACTGTTCAACATCAAGCTCTACCACATCGTCCATCATCTCACAGCACTACAGTCTCGTAAACCTTCCCTTTCAGTTTTGCTGCTATCCTTCTGTAATCTCCACCCACTCCACCCTGTCTGCACTCTTTTCTACACCTCTCTTGTGCACTCTATGTTGCTTTGGGTGTAACAGTTGAAAATGCAAAAATGAATAGTTAACTCCACAGAGCATTTGCTCTGCATATAGTGGGGGCTTTTTGTTCGTTAGAACATTGTGTGTTTTAATTGCACAATAAAACAAGCAATTAGAATAATAAAGCCTCTTTAATGTGGGAAACATGTCCACAGTTTTAATAAATAAATATATCATATAAAATATAAAATATAATAAATAATTATAAACACAGAAAAGGCTCACACTGTGGTATACTATTGAAGAGACACTGTGGGAGGGAGGGAAACGGTTCATGTTCCTGTATGTCTGTGTCCTCAGGCAATACTATACTTTGCATTGTAGGACATATTCTCTGCTTTTCTTCTCCTGATCTGCTCTTACACACTGGAAACTCCTGTTCCTCCTCATCTCACCTTTGCTCACTTCATCTCTTTCGACATGTTTTGTCCTTTTTTTCCCCTTCGGTGCACTGATGAAAGGGTCCTATAGGACCCAGGCCACACCTTAAATTCACACACACACAATGGTGGTGGGTTAATGCACTATATAAAATGTCCACACACATGTGCAGACAAATAAGTAAAAGTACTTTATCGCGCATGTGCAAAATGCACATGCTTGCATGTGAGGATGTGAACGCACAAAGCAGGAACTTTTAACTCCCACACACATTTATATTTAGAGGGATCACAGCTGAGACTCACCAAATTGTCTTTCCATCTGTGTCAATACATAAACTTTGAAGTGTGACAGGAAGGTGTGTGTGTGTGTAAGTTGTTGCAAGTCTTTCCTGAGTTTTTTCTTCATCGTTTCTTTTTACTTCCAAAAACCCCCAAAAAACTCCAGAAAAGACATTTGGAAATGACGAGTGCTTACAGCAATCCAACTCATATTACCTTAATCTTGTTTGGCCTTTGCTGGGACATTAAAGCAAAGACATGCAAAATGGATGTTTACAGTGAACATTTCATGACAGTGTACTCAATTGATGGCTATGCCCTCTTTACACTTAACACTGGTTGGTTAAGTGCTCTCTTAGCGTAGCTCCTCTCCCTAGAATTTTCTTTTTAGTCAAAAGCCTATTATTAAAACTAAATTAAAATTTCAGTCAAAATTAACACTGCAGATGAAGCAAGAATGCAATTAAAATATTTCCGACAGTAACAAATTGCTCACACAAATTTTAGCCTAACGCTAACCACCACTGGGACATGGCATGCGAGCACCTGCCTCCACTGTCAAAGTTCTAAGTAATGTGCTTAGCAGTACAGACTGATATACATACTTGGGGATAACAACTCTGACTATGCTAGCCCTGTTATTTGTTTCCTCGGTGACCCTAAAACTGCAGTAGACTTTGAAAATATAAAGGACTATTTTCTATCTTTTCCATTTAATCCCTCTATTTAGCCAGGCTTTCTTGACTGTCCTGAATGCACACACCATATTAGTTACATTGTATTGCTGGAAGCATAAATCCAGAGACCACTATCAGAGCCAACATACACTGAAACATTTTGAAAAATGCACCAAAGTGTGCATTTTAACATGCTGAAGATTTAAGTATGGGTATAATACCTCACTTAAGAAGCTGACCTGTGGACCAGATGACATTGTTAAGTCTCTCTGGATACGAAAAAATGAATTTACTTTCAGGTTCACAGTAGTTTTCAGGGGCCTGTCTTTCTGAATGTTCTTTTGGGCTTTTTCCCTCCCTTTAATTCAAACTAGGCTATGTTCTCCTGATAACACATGAGGCAGCCTCAGTAGTCCTTTGGACAACTGCGGTTTAATATAAGAATTTAACAAAAGAAAAGAAAAGAAACAGAAGCGATACAGTGGGATGAAAATGTATTGGGAACAGTCAAATATTACACAGGCTCCCAAACTCGCCCTTCCTTAATCCGCCTTCGGTCGTGTCTACTGTATTAAAATAAGACGTTTAACATTTCCATCATGTCTGGTTGCCTGATGGCTGGTTTGAACTTTCTGAAGGTAAACAAAACTCGATGCTGACAATCTATTTCTTGGATATCCTGGAGGGAACTGCACTGTGAAGAATTCTAGAGACATTTTGACTGTTAGTCCCCCCCCAAAAAAAAAAAGTCACACCAGACAAACAGCCAGCTGATTTGCAACAGCAAGGAGAATGCATGCTTCATTTAGGCAAGATCACAATGTAACCAGTTCTTTGTTACAGTGTATCAGGATTTTTGAAACACTTGAGGAAAAGAACAGCAATCTCTGGTATAATCCCCAAGAAGCACTGTCAGATACAATAACTAACTTTAAAAGATTAAAGTAGTTCATTCAGTATGTGACTGTTAAATTTATATTTGCATTAGAATGCTATGTTCTGGCCACTAAAGCAGCGGTCAGCCTTCTTCTTGATTATCCTTTAATGCATCTACATCCTGGTGAGGAGTTGATTGACTGCCTGGCTGCTTGGTGCACCCTCCTCTCCAGACTCCTCTTCAATCACCTTCTTCTGGAACTCCTGCATGAAAAAAAAAAGAAGACTCAGTGTTTGAACATTAAACACTTACACATTTGATGATTGCTAGGTGCACAATATGTGTGTAGACAGCAATGGCATAAACCTGACCAGCATAGGAAAAAAAAAACCTGATAGTGATATTTGACTGAAAGACAGATCAATGATCTTTTGGCACCAGAATGAATGACATAATGACAAAGTCATGAATATCGCTTCAAAGCTACTCACTAGTCTCTTTATCCAGCACCTGATCAATGACCCTAAATTGTAACTGCTCTGTAACTTGATGACTTCGTCCATGACCGCTCAGTGTCTCATAAACTCCATGTCCTTTATAAAAAAAAAGAAAAAAGAAAAAAAAAGCTTTTCTGTGTTGCTGGAGCAGTGAAACTCTAGAAGCTTTGCGGCTGCTTAGGCTGTCGCTTTGTGGTGTTGAATCTTGTATGGTTAATGTGAATTTCAGCACAGCAACCACATCAAACAACAGCAGGTGCATGATTTTCACATCAACAGTTAGTAATGAGATCTGGATGTGTTTGCCTGTCATCCTCACCCTGAATCTGCGCAGCCTTGCCAGTCTGTCTTGCAGAGTCTTCTCCTGGCTGGAGGTCAGCTCTGCTACATGAGTGCGCCACAGCTGCTCTTTCTCCTGAAAGACCAAAATGCAGTTTTAAGATAGACTATATATAAAAGATGGACACATTTGTCTTAGCTGCTGGTTTTGTGAAATCCCTTCATTCCTTTTGAAATCGGATGTTAAGAACAGGAAGTGGTTCTTACTGGGGAAACCAAGTACATGGAATAATACTGCATGGTAACAAATTGTCAAACTCATTTTACACTGTGGGCCACATACAGGCTGCTTTGATCTTAAGTGTAACTCTCCATTCTGTCAGTGTAAAGACTCTGAACTGTACCCTGCTTACAAGCAATATTCCATGTTTGAGTAGTCCAGCAGCTGGCACTGCCTTTTTATACTCCATTTGTCTTAATCAGCCATGAAAAATGAGTTTAACTACATCCGTAGTTTTCATAATTACAACAGTAACACGTCTGCTGACGGTTAATGTTTCAACCCAAAGCCCCTCTGACTGATCCTCACAATGACACTCCACAATCATCAAAACTTGGCAAATTGCTCCCACGAACTTGTCAGTGGAGTTGAGACGGAAAATAATCAACTCAATTTGTCAACTTGTCAGTGATCGCCCATCTGAGCAAATTTGCATCAAGAGTGCTACCCCATATCCCTCTCCATAATCATTCAAAGGCCTTTAAAGAAAGAATGTCTTGGTCGTTTGTCTGGATGTGTGTGTGTGTGTGTGTGTGTGTGTGTGTGTGTGTGTATAGACTCCTGTCCTAAAGGAGTCTATTATTTTGTGGGAGAACACATCTTCTTATCCTTCTATATGCATACATTAAAGCTCAAAGGTGCAGAGAGCAGCAGGTGGAACCACCACAGCACAGGCAAGACAGAGTTTCATGATGTGATGTAGGGTGGAGGTGGGTTACAAAGTGGCTTGTAGATGCACATCAGCTGTAAGTGTGCAGCATAAATCTGAGATAAGTTTGGAAAAAGGCATCAGCTGAGCCAGCTGTGGGTATGGGCTGACATGGAGGTTATCTGATCTGCTCACTCAGATAGTTTCTCACATGTAGATGCAAAAATAAAACACAAGCTTAATGTTGAATACACAGGATTTTCAAAAAAACAAAATCTTTTCTAAAACTCCCAAATAAAAAATGTTTGTTTGTCACAAAATGTAAAGCTATAGGAGGAGTGGAACTTTCCTTCTTTAGGTTCATCAGTCCAATCAGTGCACTCGCCCTGAAAGTGCCCGTAAACACGTGGCGAGTAACCCCTTGTACTGTTTTCTGAAACAAATCCTCCATGCGTTTCTTCATCCACCACCCAAAGCACACAGAAAAACATGCTCACATACAGTATTAGTGCAGTATGTATATCCAGATACATACAAGTATGCGTGAGTACACAGGCAGAATCCCACACACGTGTATTTTTAGCTTGAGTTGTCCCAGCTAAGCTTGCCCTGCCTTTGAAAGAGAAATAAATCCAACTGAAAGCAAAGGGTGATAAGGTGGCGAGAGGTTGTGTGTGTGTGTGTGTGTGTGTGTGTGTGTGTGTGTGTGTGTGTGTGTGTGTGTGTGTGTGTGTGTGTGTGTGTGTGTGTGTGTGTGTG